CACAGGAGGAAAGGCTTTTCCACAACTGCAATTCTGGTACATTCAAAGCTGTTTTAAGAACACTAAGTCAACTCAGCATCCATAACCAGTGTTACACTTCTGCAATTCATTAGTCCTTGTGGTTCCATTTCGTAATTAAAATACTTTTCAGTTTAAGACTTTACAATAAAGAATGTGCAGTCCTCAGCAGTGTTTCCACTGGCAGTCTATGGAAAACATATGCATGGAAAATATGTACAGTGCATGTATACAGCCATCTTTGGATAGCTTCAGTGAACATTCAACGCTGTCGGTGAGTTTGAGAACTAGAAAAAACCATCGACCGTTGACTGTACCTTGAGGTTTATCACAAACCCTCTGCTGAATGGAAAGCCTGAACCTTCAGAGATTTCACATGTGGTTGCCATTAACAGGTCATGATTTACAGATTATATTAAGAGCTACAGAGGTTGAGTTTTTCCAGTTCTACTTTCTCTAAAAGTGAATTGGTGCATAAGAAATGTTTGTTTTCTCTTAAAAAAAACACAACAAAAACAACAACAACAAAAAACCCAAACAAAAAACCAAAACTAAAACAAAAAAACCAAACAACTTTATACTAGAGCAGAATTTCCACAGAACAGAGTATGAGAGCAGTGGAAGGTTCTGTATGGGCAGCACAAAAGCAGGAACATATCCGCACCATATGGTACACTTGGAAACAAATCTGAGCATGGTGTATGTTCAAAATAGCAGAATACAGGCCAGATCAGGAGGGAAACCTCGTTTCCATTTGGGCTGGCAACTTGAGCTTCACTGGAAAAAGCTCTGGAATGTCAGTTCATTTGCTCCCAGGAACCTGTGCTCGATTTCAGCAGCTGCTCACCGGGAACGCTGGGCGAGGACCGGCTCCCTCCCGGCCCGGCCCAGCTGCTCCCGCGGCTCCGGCTGTCGCTCCCCAGCCAGGCAAGCCAGGAAACACCCTTCTTTTGGAAGGAACAGGGAGCCAAGTATGGGGCACCTCAGTGCCACCTGCCTGGAACCTCCTCCACCCCAGCTGGGGGATCAGGTGTAGGGCTGTGGGCTCTGAGAGCCCGTGGCTTCAGAGGGTGCAGGCCCTGGGTTTGCCCCCGCAGGACTGCAGAACCCACGAAACACCCACAGCACGTGCTACCTTGGTGCCCAGGTGTGCTTGCCACAGCCACCGAGACTCCGAGGAGCCCTGAAACAGCTGTACATCCTGAGGCCCAGACGACTGCAGAGGGACTGTTCGTGTGACCACCCCGTCCCAGCAGAGCAGCATCGTCAGCACCTCATGGCTGCAATCAACATTCATTGCTGTCGGTGGGTTTTCATTTCTATCAACTCACTGATCAATGAATGCAAACTGCGGACCAGCCAGCCAAGGACCAGCCTCACACAGCCAAGGCCATACAAGCTCATATGGCCTGGGCAGTTTTCTGGCAAGAAAAGCAACAGTTTTGCCGAAGAAGTGCTTGTATCCAAGTTCTGCTTCCCAAACCCATGTAAGGCAAGTCTATGGCTGTGCCATTATCCCACCAGAGAGGTTCAAGGCACATCATCCAGGTCCTTCACGAGCAAGTATGAGTACTAAAAGCATTATGTAACTTCAGAACTGCACAGGGATTTTTGAAGGGGCAGAACAGGTGAGGGACCAACTCAATTTTAATAAAAGTTACACCCAGTTGGTAAATATCTCACGTTCAGTAAAGTGTAAACCTACAGCTTTACCTGGTGATAGGAAATGAAACTTCCTCCTACGTGAGCCCAGCTGTGGAACAGCACTGGGTCCTACAAAGTGACCAGTGAGATGAGAAAGGACTGAGGCTGTGGGGCTTTGGACTGACAGGCTAGGAATGGGACAGAGCGAGGCAGAAAACAGCCACTGACAGCAGGTGCTGCTGCAGAGAACGTTCCCCATGGCTGTGGTGGGCAGGTTTAGGAGCTGGGGCTGACTGCCTGGGGCAGGCAGGGACCCTCCTGCACACACATCTGTCTGCAGGACAGATAGAACTGACACTGCCTTGAGACACAAGAGCAACCTCTCAAGCTGCCCTCCAAGTATTTTTTAATGACTGGCCATGAATATCTGTGCCCAGGAATGCCACTGTCACTGGGCAGTGCAATGCAGTAAAGGCAGGAGGCCCCTGTGTTGCCCCCACACTCTGAGGAGGGGCCACTCAGACCAGGGATGGTGGATCCCATTCTGCTCAGCAGTGGTATCAGTCAATTCCCTGTGCAGTAGAGGGTCCAAGCACTTCTCTTATGCCTTGTTTCCTCCTGCAGTTGTTTACAGGCTTATTCTGAAGCAGCCTGTTCAGGCACGCTGTGCTGATATCCCACAGGAGCCATCTCCCTCAGCTCGCTGTACAGTTCAAGTCAGAACAACTCACTCATGACTTCTCAACTCCAGTTTGGTGAATATTCAAAATAAATCTGTGTGCTTGTTCTGCTAAAAGACTTGAACTTGTTCAGTCTTACACAGGAACAACTCCACCGAGTTCAACACTCACAGACTGAACTTTGCAGAGGTGGAGCTTTATGAGAAAATCTCCCCTCTCCCTGAGCCTGACAGTGAAGGGCTCTGTTCAGTCACCCCAAGCGAGCTCTTCCACTGACACCCTGGGTAAGTGTGGTGCTTTGATAGAGGGAATTTACTACAGTAATGTAACAGTGAACAGCCCAAGAGCACGGCTGCCAAATTGTTTTAACATTATCAAAATGAGAATGACTCATTTTTTATGCAGTTTGACATTTTGCCTTTGAAATCTCCAATTTTTCAGCATGCTTGGCAGGCTCCCTCGGAAGTGAGAGTGCACAATTTGGACTTTTTCCAGCAACATCTTACATGATGTACAAGAAAGTACTTGTGCATTATTTTAAACAGACATTTCAGCCAACTGTTTTCCCCCACGTACACTTGTATGAAAGTACAAAATACAGAAGTCCTGACAGAGGTGTTCATCTTTACTGCAAGGGCATGTGAAAATAATTCACTGCAATTACTCTAAGACATTTCAGACAAACAGGGAAAACTACAGTGAAGGGGCCATCACCCTGTTTGCCAATGCACAACAAGCCAAAGGCTTCAGCAGTCACTCCACAGATCTTAAAGACTGTGGGTGCACAAATAAGCTTAAGAATTCATTTTCCTACTCTGCTGTAAAAAAATCCTCAAGATTTTTTTTTGTTTGTTTGTTTTAATCATGTTTGGTAATGAGACAGCAAGGGAAAAAACTTACTAAGGGAAGACAGGTTAGCAGACATGTTCAGAATGTTTTTAAATCCATGCTTGGGAAGTTTTAGATGTTTCTGGCACCAACTGTTTGCTCCCTACCAGAGCCCACCCCACAGATGCCCCGGAGCACATCAGGGTGATGCTGAGCTCCAGCACATTCAGTGCTGCCACCACAGCCGTGGGACAGCTGGGGCTGGAGAGCTCTGGGATCTGCCCCAGCAGGAGCTGCCAGGGCTCCTCTATCCATACTGGAGGCTCCAGCAGGGCCTTCCAGCACTTTGGGGACCCCACTGCCCACCGGGTGCCCACCAGCACTGATGGGGGGATCCAAAGACAGGAAGACATCAAAAGAACTCAAGGAGCTCGGTTTATTTAGTTTATCAAAAGTTTATATAATATCTTCATAGGGAACAGATGTTTGACAAGCATTTTTCAGTTTAGCAAAAGGTAACACATGAAAGCTGTGGCTAGACAAACTCAGAGAAGCAATAACATACAGTTGTTTAAGGGGAAAAGAGGGTCATTCAGCTCACGCTGGACATATGCTCTTAGTATTGGCAGATACATTCTGGGAGAATACTGTGGAAAATTCAGTTTTGTTTTAATTCCCTTTAATGCAGGAGAAGCCTGAATGCAGTAAAGCTATGTCAGGCCACAAAGACTCAACAGAATATTAGCCAATATATCATCATAACCTACACATCTCTAAATGACAAATTATTCTACATATGCATGTGGAATTATCTGTTTCCATATAAAAATGATCAACTGCATGAACACCTGGCTAGATGCCTACAAAGGTGTGTTTTATTAATCAACAGGCAAATAACTGCACAGGCATTTACAACTCGGGGCCTGCCATTCCTGCATTCCACACGGCTGTTCTCATTCCAAAGGAAGGAACCACATATTCCCACTGTAGAGGAACCACAGTTCTCCCAGGTTCCCCAGTAAAAGTGCAAGTCCACCAGCACGATGGCACATGGAAGGGACAATGTCCTGGCCCTGGAGGGCTTTTAGCAGCTTGAACATCTGAGCATCATTTCTGAAATGAGCTGTCTGATTGAAATTTCAGATTTGAAAAATCCACAGAGTTCCCACACAGTGAGATGAGAAGTCACTGTGAATGAGGGGTTTGCAGAGGCTCAGCCCTCTGTTAAGGACACGGTTTCCCAGTCCCACCAGTCTGACAAGGGCCTGTTGCCATCTAGTGGATCCCATGGACTGGTCCCTCTGCACGCAGAGGCCACTAGATGGAGCGTTAAGAAGGAATTCTGAATTCCTATTTTTTTAGGTGTCCAGTAGCTCAGATTTTCAAAGTCTCAAAAGATACAGGCCCAGAATTACCGTGAAAGTGAAGAGGATTTCACCCACTGCTCTCAGTTTCCTGAGAAATTCCAGGCTCTGCATTTCCAGGTTTAACACTGAAACAACACAGATAAATAGTTCCCCAACAGCATAATTTACCATCACCTCAGGGGTTTATATCACTCACAAAGAGGCATCTACTTCACTGAGATACCTCTGGTGACAAAGGATCTTAACCTGCATTCTGCTGGTGTAAATAATAATGTACAGACCTGGTCTGTGCTACTTTTGTGAAAAATACCTCATCAGCTCTCACCTACGCGAAACTCCACTTTCATGATTAAGCATTAGCTCTAAAACTTCTTGAAGTCTACATGGAGTATCATTTCACATCTTTGGATTATCTCGGAATGAGAAATTCCAGCTTATCATGTGGCAAGAAAAGGGTACTTACTGCCCATGGAGTTCATAGGGAGGACAGGAGAGGAGGAACTCATCTGCTCCACATCTGCAGCTAATGGGAAAGTGAAAATGAGAAAGATGTGATGTGCATGTTACCAAGATGTTTTTATTTGAAAACTTTCATTTACACTTAAGTTGAATGTACTTGTCTTTGGTCACCTGAGGAAGCTGCTTTAGAAGCAGGTAATTTTTAACAGCATCAGCCTTCCCTCTTTCGAGATACGTCTATCTCGTCCACGTCATCTACAGATCTACTTTTCCAAGCAGTTGTATTGGTAATCTGTAACTTGTGATGGTTTGAGAATATCAATTCAGAACAACTTCCAGCATAAAGAAATTCTGGATTACATCAGCTTTAGACTGCATTCAGACCATTACTGTGGAATGAAAGGACATGATGATCTCCTATCTGTGTCCACTGCACTTTTAAAAGATTCAGGATAGGAAGAGAGATCTTCTTCCAAAGGCAGGAAATATGCTGGTATTTGATCTGGAGCAGCATCAAAAACAAGTGTTTTTAAATACAAGACACTCCAAAGCCTTATTTTCTAACAGCTGAAAGAAGAAACAGAACTTCCTGCCTGTGTTTGCCAGTGAAAAACCCCAAAGTCAGAATGTGATCCAAACCAAATGCCAGATGCCCTCTGTGTTTTGGGAGGGATCCACCTTTCCAGGACCCAAGCCAGGAAAGACCCATCTTCCAGTAACAGGGTCAGTTTTAACCCAAGATTAGGTAAACCAAAGATACATTCTTTGGGGCTTGATCTCTGTCAAAAGGCCACAACCCCTCTCAGCACATCACCACAAACACCAAAGTCAAGCAGATCAGTCTCCATCATTTTGGTGCTGGGAGATCCCACATAATTATATATTCTGTAACTCCTGTTTAGCTTTAAGACCCAATAAATGCAGACTACAAGTTACATTCCTAACCACAGAACACAGCCCCAGAAGCACAACTCCAGCCCACAGGCAGGCTGTGCTGCCAGCCCAAATCCTGCCTTTCACATTCCTGCAATTCCCATTTCTCTGGCAGGAGGCAGTTCCCCGAGGATCACTATTTACACTGAAAAGTGCAAAGTTCTGCCCTAATTAGGCAAACCACAAACAAATGTAAACACTTCAGCAGACCCTTTTTGCAGAACGTGAGAGCAGACACAGCACCACACTGACTTAATCCTCCTGCCGTGCTTTCCTGCCTCTCTGAGCGCCTCGAGGAGCCTCCTCGGTGTAGCTGCTCAAAGCTGCAGCTTTAGGTCCGTGTGCTGAGCACCAGCCACAAACACAATCACAGATTTATTCAGCAATGCCCTGGGTCGTTCCTGTCCTATTCCCCAGTGAATTATCAAGGCATTTACTGCCTAGAACATCTACACATTCATTCATCATCTCGCTGTGTTCAGAAAGATGCACAATCCAGAGTACCCTGCACAGGTCTGTGGTGTGCTCAGAGGAAAAAATGATTTCTGCATCTTGCCATTTTCCACCTTAGTCTCCCTAATGTGGGAATTGCTGGCCCTCCAAAGGAGCTGGCAGCTCACACACTACACGTGTTTATAAGTTAAAAAGGATTCTTCATATGCAGCACAGCCATTTCAGATCCCTGGGAAGAGTTTTGTACTTTTTCCTATTGACAGCTACGTGTGCTTTCACACACAGCCAAATTAAGCCAAAAAATAAATGCAGCTTAAAGTTACGCTTAATCTTGTGTGGGTGGCAAGATTTAGGCGGTGTAGATTCAGCGCTGAGCACAACTCAGCTCTCAGAAGGGCTGAAGGCCCCGCTCAGCAGATGGTCACTCAGGGGTTACCTGCTGCTCTGGCACACAGGGGTCACTGCCCAGCACGGGGGACAGATGGCACAGGGCAGGCACTGAGAACCCATTGTGTGAGCAGCAGTCACTCGGGAGAAAGCTACACCTGCCAACATCTGGAATAGTTTATCAAGTATCATTCAAAAAGCAACTAAATATTGCACGTGCCTCCTGAAGAGAGCTTTCTGAGCGGTGTTTGGAGAGAGACAGTGCAAATTCTTTCAAGTCCTTCAGTTTTAGACTGTTCATGTTATAGGCTGCCAATAACAAAATGTAACTATTTCTCAGCTCTGCTTGGGGAGGATAGTTTCAGTTCATGCTTGAAATGATGTATTCTAACTATTTCTAATATGTTCACCAAGGCAGACACCGCGGTCACCACAGCCCGGCTGCTCAGCTTTGAAGGCAGAATTCCCTCGTGTCCTGCCCAGTGCTGCTGGAACCTGGAGATCCCACACCCAGAGCACAGAACATGGCACGGCTCTGGGATCAAGAGAAGCAACACCTCAACATTTCTGTCCTCGTGTTACTGGCAGATGTATTTATAATGTAGTAATCTCAAAATCACACCTCAATCTTTTTATAAGTATATAAAAGCACAACTAATTCTCCTACACCTGGCCTTGGATAGGTGCATTTAAAAATTTCTCTCAATATTAAAAGAATTTGAACAGCTCTTTATGAAACATGGCAATGCTGACTTTGCTCTCTTATCCATAAGCCCCTCCCCTCCAGCCCTTTTTACCTTCATAATGATAGGCAACACATTAAACTCCTAAAATCAATTCAGCTAAGGCAAAGGAGATATGGATTAAAAACCAGCTAAGATTTTGGAAACTGGAAGAAGATGAAAAGGACAAAAGTCTGCTCAGCTATGAAGAGCAGCTGCTGCCAATACAAGTATTTACCCCCTGACCCCTCCTCTGCCCACTCAGTGAACAGTGCCAATTGTTTCCCTGTATTATACACTGTTTACAAGCCCTGAGTGGCATGAAAGGAATTAATAATTCAGCTCTTGGAGCTGATGACCTTTATTGGGGTACCCCTATTTGCTGAGTAGGAATCAGAGCAAAAAAACCCCTTGAAGCCACAGGGTTTCTTTAAGAGTTTTTCACTTTACAGCCTAATTGGCCACCATAACATAAATCAATTATTTCTCCTGTTTTAAGCAACAATGCTACCTATTCTCAACCACTCAATTTCTTACTCCTCTTGTATCAAGCCAGGCCTTGTTCTTTGACTTTTACAATGGTCTGGTAAACACACTGGCAAGGCCAGCTTGGAGAGCTTCGCAGGATCAGGAACATTTGGGAACACCAGCAAAAAGAGGTTATGCTATTTTGAACTTCTCTTGACCTTTGCCTGCCCTTGTCCCTGGTTATGCTAATTGAAGGGGTATATGGGCTACTCCCAGAAATGAACTTAGCCTGAACCTGTGACACAGCATTGGACTTTGAGGATGAGTTTGGGACCCCCTCCCCAAAGGCTGTCATCTTACACGCAGGAAGGGAGAGCAGGTAAAACACAGTCCCCTGAGCACTGCAGGGACACCCAAGATGAGAGGGAGCAGAACATGCTGACTCAGTGAGTCACATCATCTTCCCCCGTGTCCGAACAGCTGCCAGGGATCAATTCATGGATCCCTGAGGCAGAAACAAGCGGAGCTTGTGGGGCTGCAGACAGAAGGACATGGTCACAGCACAGCCTCCACAGGCACAGGGTATTCCAGATGTGGCTCTGCCATGTCCCACAGGAGGCACTCAGTGCTCCTCTCAACCTCCTGGCTCTCAGACCAGCACAGGATGGGCTGTCACCACCACAAGCACATCCTGACTCATTGTGAGGTTCTCCAGGACCCCAGGTCATCCCTGCCGAGCTGCTCCCAGCCTGTACCATTCCATGGGGTTACTGCATTCCAGATGCAGGACTCGGTGTTTGTCTCTGTTTAACTTTGAAGTTTCAATTAACCCTTTCCTTCAGCTTATCGAGGTCCTCCTGAACAGCAGCTGTGCCCTCATCATGGTGTCATCTGCAAGTCTGATGAGTGTGTCCATCCCATCATCCAGATGGTTGACAAAATTGCTAAATAGTATTGGCCCTAATATTGACTCGCAAGGACAACCACAGCATAACAGGCCACCAGTGAGTGCTTGAACCCTTGGCTGCCACCCTTGGAACAAAACAGCCCAGTTTTTCACCCAGTTTGCCTACAAGGATGATGTGGGAGAGACTGTCAAAAGCTTAGCCTAAGGTTAGTGACACAATTACTCTCTCCTCATTCATGGATCCAGTCATTTCATTGCAGCAGGAATGAGGCTGGTCAGGCACAATCTCCCCTTGGTAAACCCACAGTGACTGTTCCCAGTTACCTTCCTATTCTTCAAGTGCCTGGAAACGTCTTTTGGGAGGATTTGCTCCATACCCTTCCCACTGAAGGAATGAGACGAGGATGACCAGCCTGCAGTTCCTCAGAGCAGCTACTACTGAGCAGAGCCGAGTTAAAGGTGATTCATTGTCCCTTATCAGCTAAATTCTACTATACAGAGACATTCCTCCCCTTTCCCCTACATTGGGTAGAGCTTGTCTTACCTCAACACTGAAAACACACACTGTTTGCAGAGAGAAGTGGGAAGTAAGGTCATTGCGATAAATATTTTTACTCATTTTCATTTACACAGAAAACAATCCCAGCTCCTGCTTACCAACAAAACTGAAAGGAAACCTACAGAGGGTTGAACGTTCCATGTACCTGCACTGCGTTCCTCAATAAACACTCCACAGACATTGTTATTTTAAATGCCTGTTTACATTCCAGTAAAATTCTGTCAGCGTGGTATCTGATTTATTGATGCCATCAAAAGTCACAGGATTCCTGACGTGCCTCCTGAGGCACAAAAATCAAAGCAGAAAGGAGCTGCACGTTGCTGTGGTATCAGCATTACCCCAGATGGGATGGGATGGGTTTCCAGAAGCCGCCTGTGTTTTCTGAGGCAGAGCACAGTGTGCCCTTCTGGAAAGTTGGTGCTTCCCTGGGAGATTTAGCAGGCTCTGCTCCTGAGAAAAATGGGGTGGTGTGGATGGAAGTGCCATCCACAGCCACCCTTGGTAACAGCAAGGTGCATCAGGGCAGCTCATTGCTCTAAGGGGGCTCATTCACATTTGCATCTCATTTTACACTTTCAGGCTACCAAAAGAGCAAACTTCATACACAGTCAACCAGCAAAGCTTTTTAAAAAAAT